GCATTTTTTAGCTTATTGTCAAAAATCAAGTGTCCATAGGTATGTAGATTTATGCCTGGGTCTGCAATTTGATTTCATTGATCAACATATCTTTTTTATGACAGTATTATGCAGTTTTTCATTACTATAGCGATGTAGTAAAACTTGAAATTGGGGATAGTGGTACATTTAGCAGTTCTTTTATTATGCAGGGTTGTTTTAGATATGCTGGTGTTGGTGTGTGTGTGTGTGTGTGTGTGTGTGTGTGTGTGTGTGTTTCCATATGAATCTAAAAATTGTTCTTTCAAGTTCTGTGAATAATTGTGTTGCAGTTTTGGTGGGGATTGCACTGAATTTGTAAATTGATTTTTTTGTCAACTACACATCCAATTCAGAGCTAACAGCTAAAATATGTAAGAACTAAAAATCAACTGAATATAATGAAAACAAATAAATAACCCAGTGAAAAAAGAGGGTACAGATCTAAACAGAGAGTTATCAAAAGAGAAACACAAATGACTGAAAAACAGTTAAATACTTAGGCCTCCGGAAAATTCAACCCAAAACATGTTGGGATAATCTTTTTGTAAGATGTTGTCTCTGTCCTTCCTCACTTGCCTAAAGCACCTTCTGATTGGTTTAGTAAAGAGCTGAACCATCAATAGCTAGGCAGAAACAGAGATTGGAACTCTGGGAAGGAATCTGGTGCAGAAAATTTGCCAGCAAAGTGGAGGAAGTTGGGCATACAGTACTGAGGAGAGGTAATGAGTCACATGGCAAAACACAGATTAATAAAACAGGTTAATTTAAGTTTTAAGAGCTGGTTAGAAACAAGCCTATGTTAAGGCCACACTTTCATAATGAACAGAAATACCTTTGTGTTGCTATTTTGGGAGCTGGATGTCCAAAGAAAGACCTGCTATGAAAACCATTTGAAATTTCATCTTGCACCAGTCAGTGTGGTCAAGATAAAAAAAAAGACAGTTCATGTTGGTGTGGATGGGGGGTAAGGAGAGCACTCCTCCAGTGCTGGTGGGAGTGCAAACTTGAGCAGCCGCCATGAAGACCAGTGCAGTTGTTCCTCAGGAAGCTGGGACAAGATCTACCTCCAGTTCCAGCTGTGCCACTGTTAGGCATGCACCCAAAGTGCTCTGCACTCTACTCCAGAGACACTTGCTCATCCGCATTCATTGCTGCTCTCTTCATAATAGCCAGAAATTGGGACCAGCCTATTTGTCTATCAATGAAAGGAATGGATAAAGGGAATACGGTACAGTTACACAACGAAATCTTACTCATTTGTTAAAAAATGATGAAATTTGCAGTAAGTGGATGGAGCTAGAAAAAAAATCATCCTGCATGGGGTAATCCAGTACCCCAAAGACAAATACAGTGTGTATTTATTTATATGTGGGTATTAGATGTATAGAATAAGGGACTAGAGGAAGAAAGGATTTTTTTCCAAGGAAGGGCAAATAGGATATTTAGGTATATAGGGATGGGGTTGGGAGGATAGACTAAATCAGGATGATTAAATGGAGAGGGAAGGGGCAGCGGTAAGAGAGGAATACAGGGAGCAACAGCTAAATCTAAGGGCCACTTAAGGGGGTCATACAGAAGCCTACTACAGTAGAAGCTTTTTGCTTTTTTGGTTTTTGAACAAGGTTTCTGTGTACAGCCCTGGCCCTCCTGAAACTTGTTCTGTATACCAGGCTGGCTTTGAACTCAGATATATGCCTGTCTCTGCCTCTCCAGTGCTAGGATTAAGGGCATTAGCCACCACCACCTGGATCTTTAGAAACACACACACACACACACACACACACACACACACACACACACACACAACAAAAAGGTATATATAGAATCACCAAATAATGGGGATACAAAGTTCCAACTAAACAACTCTCGCCATCAAATGAAACTTCCAGTTCCAGGAATGGGTCACACCTATCTAACGAAGTTGTTGGCTATGGGGACCCCATGGAATCCCCCAAACAACTCAGGCTTTTGCCAAGGCTATTTATAGCTCTCCACAAATTGACATTAAGGTCCCATTGCTGAAGATAACACCTACATGTTTGTTTATCATGGGAAGTTGAGCTGGTGCCTAACTAGATCCTTTCCTCTGCCCACTGAATAGTTTCACCATACTGGAAGGTACTCTGCATGCCACCAGAGGATGAAGGCAAACACCAACCCAACTGTAAATCCATCAGTCTATAGTGGCGACTGACCAACATGACAGCTTAATAGCGTCACAAAAGTTGTGGGAGTAACAAGCACTATCTGGCTGGATTTAAGGACCATTCTATGAGATTGAAGCCATGTCTGATACTGCTTGGGTGGCCAAGAACCTAGGGAAATACTAAATACTATTGTTCTGCTAATGTAGCAATATAATGACTCCTAGTGACATTCTGCTATCCCCACAGATAAGTGTCTAGTTCAGTCAGCATCAGAGAAGCTTCCTCTACAGTAGATGGGGACAAATACAAAGACCCACAACTAGACAATGTGCAACGAGTGAAGGTCTTAAATGGGATGTCTCCATCAAGCTTCTCCCCTCTGGACTCAGGGAACATTACAGCAAAGGGGACAGAAACACTGTAAGAGCCAGGAGGGATGGATATCACTAAGGAAACAAGGCCTTCTAGACCCAATAAAACCGACACATTTACAAGCTTGCAGAAATGGTGGCAGCATGCACAGGGCCTTCCCAGATCCAAACCAGATGGGGTCTCAGTGCTGAGAGGGGGAAGTGGACATGAGCTCCCAACCCTAGCCAAGAAGCTGTATCCAATTAACAGCTGCTTGCCAAGGAAAACTTAGTTTTCTCCAAGGGTGTTTCATTGAATATATAAACCACACTGAAGGGCAAGCCCATGCCCAGAAGTAGACGCCCAACACAAAATGAACTCTATAGTATTTGTAGAGATGTTTTAAAAAAATTTATAATGCTTTGAACATTTCTCACCTTACTGGTCTTTTGTTTATGTATTACGGTTTCCAATTTTATGTTTGTGTTTTTTTTTAAATTGGTTTCCTTCTTCTCTCCTTACCCCGTGCCCCCAACTTCTGTGTTCTAATGTTTTTCCTTTGTTCTCTTTCTTTTTCTCTTCCTCTGTTTTGTTCTAGTCTGGTGTTTTGTTTTGTTTTCTAAAGAGACAAAGAAGGTAAGCAGTTGTATCTGGCAGGAGATGAGAGGGAAAACCGTGATCAGAAAATATTGTATGGAAACATATATTTTCAATAACAAGATATGTCAGTGCTATGTTTTAATTAAGTAACACTGGTCACCCAATCCTAACCACAGCATTCGAACTGCAATTGTGTAAAGGGCAAATGTTGTCTTTAGCTCTTTAGGTCACAGATCATCACATAAATAGCAGCTCTTCATCGTGGTTGGCAACCACAGCATCCACTCTAGATTCTGCTATTCAGACCATTCACAGACAACAAAAGCATGCCATGTCGCCTCTTTGTCTACCATGAGTAAACCTGTGTGACATTTTACAAATACCCATGATCAGAATTTTCAGGCAGATATGAAATAATGCACAGGAAGGTGACTATGACGGACAAAAGTGATGCCCTAGAGGAAGGGGCACCAGCAAAGCCTTCACTTAGCAGAATCTCTTACACATGTATCATAACACCAAGGACACAAGGGTCAAAGGGGAATGAGCCTCACTTGAAAGGAGTGTGACAATTTGCCACGGAATAGAAAAGATGGTCAGAGGAAAGAACATGTTATCTAAGCAAGTTTGAGGAGCTAGGTGCTCGTCTTCCTTACTGAAGAAAACCCTTCGTTACCTGCCATCTTTTTTTCCCCCTTCCTTGGATACAAACATAAAATTGTTTAATATTTTGACAAAGTTTCTGTCTTTGATTTTGCAGTGCTGGGGATTGAACCTAGGGCTTTGTGCATGCTAAGTAGATGGTTTATACTGAGCAATAACCCCAGTGCTTGATAGAGTTTTAAAGCCACCGTTCTCCCATTATTATCAAGGTCAACTTCTGCTATTTGGCACACCTGTCATTCATTGTATGGTCCAGCACCGCTGCGTAAGAAGCAAGGACTGCCTGTGTCTAACTGAGTCCTGGGTTTGAGTTGCTTCAGCTCCCAGGGCTCCCTCTTCTCTTCCTTCTGAACAGTGGGGATAACAGTAGTTTCTGCCGCACAGGAATGTTAGGATAATCATCTAAGTTAATCTTTAGAAAACATTTAGGACAAAGATCTGGTAAGTAGTTAGCACTAATTAAATTACTTATATTTCATTGTATACTTATATCACAATTTTAAACTATACATTATTAAGAGACATTAGCAGTATTTCTCATAATTACATTATTTTGATAATACAGGAATCTACGGATATACATCTGTGAACATTTCTGTGAGTGAACTTATTAGATACATTCTTTTTGATTTTTTTAAGACAGGGTCTTGTTGACTGGTCAGAAACTTGCTTTTTGGAGTAAATTGACCTTAAACTCAAAGAAGATGTCTTCAGAAGATATGACTATAAGACATTTTCAATTAGTGATCGATGTGATAGGGCCCAGCCTAGTGTGAGTAGTGTCATCATTGGGCTGGTAGTCCTGGATTCTAGACAAGCAGGCTGAGCAAGCAAGCCAGTAAGCAGCTCCCTTCCATGGCCTCTGCATCAGCTCCTGCCTCCAAGTTCCTTCCCTGTTTGAGTTCCTGTCCAGACCTCCTTCAATGATGGATGTGTAAGCCAAATAAATCTTTTCTTTTCCAAGTTACTTTGTCCATGGTGTTTCATCACAGCAATAGTAACCCTAAGACAAGCTGGTACCAGGAGTGGGGTACTTCTGTGACAGACCTGATCATGCTGTTTTGGGAAGGATTGTGGAAGGATTTGGGGACCCAAGGCAAGAAAAGTCATTGAATGTTGAGAGCTCAGAGAGCTGTAGATGACTGGAAGATAAGAATGGAGCGATGCAGATGGTAGAGGCCTGCTTTGTGATGTTTCATAGGGACACAATGACTCTACCGGACCTTTCGTGTGAACAATCTGTGGCATCTGGTCGGCCGGAGATGAAGAATTGACTGTGGTTAACAAGAAACCAGATCCATTAAAATAAAACCTTTGCTGTCCTGGGACATTGGATGCTGGAAAACTGGAGCTGAAGAATCGTTTGTGGTTAAGAAGAGACCAGCGCCGCTGAGGTGAGGCCTGCTGTGTTTCCTCAGGCTCAGCACACGGAAGCTGCGTTCCAAAAGCAGCCAAGTGCTGGCAGCCAAACTTGGTAGTGTAAAGAATGACCCAGCTGGTGTTGGGTTTGAAGGTGTGAAGAGGTCATGGAGAGCAGCTGAGGCTTGGCGCTGTGTGGCGGGGCTAGGGTCACTGAAGAGAGTCTAGGAGAAGCTGCTGGTAAAAGTGGAACCCAGCAAGGGACCAATCCCAGCATGTTGGAGATGCCAATACTATGGGACCACCACCAAGAACAGCAGCAGCCAGACAGAGTCTAGAAAAAAAGTTGTGTGTACTGCAGAGGGCAGAGCCAGAGAGGTGACGAGGAGCCCAGAAAACTGGGCGTGAACTCCAGATAATTGGAGTTATTTACACTTTTTGAGTTTAGTTTTGCTTGGTTTAAGTTGTGAATGTGGCCTGGTTCTTTTCTCTTGAAGTAGGAAAATATTTAATTTTGGTTTTACAGGAGCCCAGAGTTGAGTCTTTGAATTATAAAAGACTTTAAATTTTAAGAAATACTGAATTTTTAAGCTCTTGAAATTTTTTTTTTTAAAGACAAAATTTTTAAATTTTGGAGTGTTTCTATTAATGTGTGACCTTGGGAAGGAAAAAAGAAGGATTAAGGCTTACTGGCGATGTGTTTGCGGGGCAAGTTGACAAGTGGTCAGTTGTGCTGGGTGGTTTGTGTCAGCTTGGTATAGGCTGGAGTTACTTAGGTAACTAAGGGAGCCTCATTGTGAAAAAGGCCTCCATAAGATCCAGCTGTAGTGTATTTTCTTAATTAAGGGTAGATAGGAGAGGTCCTAGCCCATTGTGGGTGTTGACATCCTTGGGCTGCTGGTTCTGGGTTCTATAAGAAAGTAGGCTGAGCAAGTCATTTAAAGCAAGCCAGCAAACAGCACCCTGCATGACCTCGGCTTCAGCTCCTGCTTCCAGGTTCCTGCTCTGTTTGAGTTTTTCTATCCTGGCTTCCTTCAACGATGAACTACAGTGTGGAAGTATAAGCCAAACAAACCCTTTCTTTTCCAAGTTGATTTGGTCATGGAGTTTTATTGCAGCAATAATAACTCTAGCTAAAATATCAAGAATATATAAATTAATAATTAATACTTAAATATTAAAATATGTAAATATAATTAAATAAATTAAATATTTAAATCAATTTCTAGGTTATAACATGTTTCTTCATTAATCTAAAATGTAGTATTGACTTATCAGAACTTGAGAAATACATGGAACCCAGTACATGTTCATCCAGTTTCTTCAATCGTAACAGGTTATTTAGTTTGTATGGTCTTCATCCCCCTACATGTAAAATTCTATGTGGTTTTGTCCCATGTGTAGATTTGTATAACTACCACAATCAAGATATAGAGCCATTTTATTTCTTTGAGGGACACTATTGTGCTGAGTTGGCATTTGCACTGGCCCAATTCCTGTCACCTGGAAGCAGAACATCAGTCTGTCCCACATCTCTATAACTGTCATTTTAAGAATGGTATGCGAATGCAGTTGGACAGTGTTTAGCCATTGGGGGTTGGCTTCCAACTCAATGTAATTACCTTGCGATCCATCCTGGCTATTTGTTAATAGAGGTTCATTCTTCTTCATTGCTCAAGTGTGGTGCATTGAATGTCTGGTCCGGAGTTTGCTGTTCGTATGTTGAAGAACAGCCGACTGCCTTCTCTTTTGGTGTTGAAAGTAAAATCACTGTGAATGCTTTATACGGATTTTTGTATAAGTTTTTATTTCTCTGGGATAAATGCCCACAAGTGTGACAGCTGGGTTATATGGCAGATACACGTTTGGTTTCTGAAGGAACTGCCGAATTATTTCCCACGGTTGCATCATTTTTGCATTCTTCCTGGAAATGGATGAGTTTCATCATCTCCACATGCTGGGGAGCATTGGGTACTGCCATAACTTTCTTCTTTAGCTAATCTTGCAGTCTTGTGATGAGCACACTGTGGTTTTACTGTGCATTTCCCAACAGTGAACAGTACTGGCAGTCTTTCATTGCACTTGTTTGATATCCTTACCTCATCTTTGATAAAATATCTCTTTATTTCTTTATACACTTTGAAATTGGATATATATTTTTTCTTCCTCCTCTTCCTCATCTGTAGAGGGCCACAGCCACATTCTCCATCACAAGATGGCGCTAACATCCGGCTTCACCGCCAGGTGAACGCACACGTGTTGGTAATTTTCCACTACTGTCCCCGCCTACTCCCGAGGCATCACCTGGGACTGGGAGCAGCGGACCAATCCAAGAGTGACACGTCCGAAGCAGGGTCTGTTTCATATATAAGGGATGGCTTCCTTCATATCTGGGTCTCCGCCATGTTGACTGATGCTCGCTCTCCCAAGGGGCATTAAAGCTATTTCTGCAGTAGGATCCTGTGTCCCGCGTGGTTCTTGCAGGCGAGGCCGAGCGCAGGACACTCATCTGTCTCTTCCTCCATCTTTACTTTTGAGATTTTTATTGAAGATAAAATTCCTCGTCCCTGTTTGAGATCGACATGGTTTCCCTGGTTTGTACCTTGTCCTTTCATCTAAGCAGGGTCTTTCACGGAGGAAATGTTTCCGTTTTGGTAAAACCCAGATGGGTAGTTTTTCTCTAATTCTTAAATGATCTTTATTTTATTGACTTTATGTGCTTGTGTATTATCCTGGTTTGTGTTCTGTTACTGTGATAAAACACCGAGCAACAGCATCTTGGGGGAGGAAAGGATTTATCTGGCTTACGGTTACATCACCAAGGAAAGCCAAGGTGGGGACTCCAGTCAGGAACCTGGCGGCAAGAACTTCAACAGATTCCATGGAAGGTGGAGGCATCCCGCTTCCTGGCTTTTCTCCATGGCTTGTTCAGCTTACTTTCTTAGACAACCGAGGACCAACTACTCCAGGATGGCACTGATCAAAGTGGGCGGGGCTCTCCCACACCAATCAACAATCAGGGAAGTGCCACACAGGCGTGCCTACAAGCCAACTGATGGGTGTACTTCCTCAGTTGTAGTGTGAGGGCTGGCCGGCTTATTGGGGTTTCTGTCCCTCCCAGTACCCCACAGCCGGCAAATCCCAAAGAGAAATCACACACAGGACTCCATAAGGTTATAAACTGATTGACCCATTAGGTCAGGCTTCTTGTTAATTCTTATAACTTATGTTACCCCATTATCCTTATCTACATTAGCCACATAGCTCCGTACCTTTCTCAGCTGGGCAAGTTACATCTTTCCTCTCTGGTGGTCTGGGCAGAACTGGCAGAGGGAGCTTCCTAGAATACTCCCAGTCTCTTTGCTCCACCTCTCCTTCCTGTCTGGCTTTCCTGCCTATACTGCCTGCCTGGCCAATCAGCGTTTTATTAAAATATGATTGACAGAATACAGATAATTCTCCCGCACCACTCAGTTGAGGCTCCTTAATCCCAGGTGACATTAGTTTTGTTTTTTTTTTTATCAAGTTGACAAAAACTAACCAGTGCACATATTAAGGAAATTAGTCTATGATTATTATATTTATTGGAAATATTTTCCTATTTGTGGTACTTTTGTTTTATGATTTTTCTTTTTGTGCAGCCAATTTGTTAATCATTTACTGTCCATTTTGTGCTATGCTTTTCCTAAGCCTTTAAAAAATTATTTTCTCATCTGACTTGTAATTTGTTCTTTGATTTTGTTCAGCTGCCTCAAAACATAGGTCTTTACAACTTTTAATTTTTAATATTTAAAAACATTCTGTCTTAATGTATCTGTCCCTTCCCGTCTGCCCTCTTCTCTCCTCCCTTGTCCTTTCATCCTCTCTCTGTGTCTCTTCTCCTTTTCTCTTTCCCAGATGACCTCACAGCCTCTCCCATCACTGTGACCCTGGACTTGTATTTATATATCCAGACTTATTGGGCATTTTTATATGGCAACCATTCCATCATTTCAAACTCAGATGTCTGTAAAGAAAGCAGTGTGTGTCCACTAAGGGCATCTTCATTTCCAGAGGCAGGGACCTGAACATCATGTCAGCACCTTCCTTTTCTCCCATTAAACATTGATAGTTACAGGTTTCTGCTAGTTTTATTGTACAGAATCTTTAACTTGTCCTTTCCATAGTTCAGACGCTACTCACTGCTTATTTGAGATGCTGAAGTTGCCCTCTAAACAGTATTCCTGAGTCTTGTTCCTGTCAACACAATAGCTTACAACAGTGTTATCTTCCAGTGTAAAACACACTCCAAATGTGTCATTCTGCCACTCAAAAGTCCCACAATAGAACTGGGCATGTAGCTCAGTAGGATGCCACTTGCCGAATACATGCGATGCCCTGAATCCCATTCCAACACTGCAGTGTCCAAAAAAGTAAAAGGATAACCTGGAAGTTTAAAAATCATATATAACTATAGGCAAATAAGAGAATAAAAATTTCATGGAATAATATTACATCTAACTATAGAAATATATTTGGAATTGTGGAAGAATTGATGCTTACCTAAAAAAATTTAAACAATCAAAATTGAACGTAGCGAAAGCCTGAACTGGTCCATAATCGTGGAGGAAATGGAGAAGATTTGCCATCTGAAAGAGGATGGGACCTGGCACAGTAGCTGTGGTGGAAAACGACATTCACCTTACACTGGTAATGAGTGGACAAGCCACAGAAAAAAAAAAACAAGGAAAATAGGTTTATAAAACCAACTGCTGGACTTCCCTCTAACACAGCAGGCCTGTCAGAGCAACGAGGTGGAGCTGGCCACATGCCCTCTGATTTCTTTTAATTGAATGACTTTATAATTTTCTCTAGAGAAAAGAGGTTGTCTATAGAAATCAACAGACCTGGAGCCAGGGTCTGGGTTCCTCTTTATCTATCTCTATACAGTTTTTAAACTCGGGAAACCTCCAGATGGCAGCATCTTCCTATGAGAAGAGCCTAGGAGTCAGCTCTGCTTCTCCATTCACTGCAGCGCCCAGGAGTCAGGCTGTCAACAGGGGGGCTGAGGGAGGAGCGGAGCGGGTAGATATGTTTCAGAATATCCTGAGCTTTCATTCTCTACTCAGCTCTCCATAAAGAACATTACGAAGCTGGCAGCTTGCATAGGCAGTTTCCCTACAGTTATAATAGAAATGGGTATTTTCTTTTGAGCTGTGTTCGTAACACTCTCGTTCAGACTGATTTTCGTTGTTCTCAACACACCATTTACACAATTTTTATTTTTCATATTTTCAACTAGGCAATGAAGAGTCAGCACTACAATTATGTGGATGCTAGCATCGACTCTAGTTAATGCTCACTGGTCTCTGTTGAGCTGGGTTCTCAACCTTCCGAACGCTGCAGACCTTTAAACAGTTCCTTATGTTGCGGTGACCCCAATATTTTGGTTGCTACTTCATAACTGTAACTTTGTTACTACTATGAATTGTAAGGTAAATGTCTGATATGCAGGATATCTGACATGCGACCCTGTGAAAGGGGCCGTGACCCACAAGGTGAGAACCCCTGCTGTAGAGCCTCCTCTGCACACTGCTCTCCTAGTCCCAGCATCCCGCGGCTTCCCCTCACAACTGCAGTACATGTAAGATGCCACATGGTACTCACAGGGTCCTAAACAATCTGCTCTGCCTCTCCTTTCCCAGCATCTTTGGTCACTTTGCTGTAGCCACCATGACTTTGTTGTTTCTCTAACACAATATGCTTGCTTCCCATCAGGGTCTTTGCACGGTCCAGCACCTCCGGGATCTGTGTGGCTCACTTACCCATTCGGATCTCTTTCCAGTTATCCTTTTTCTGGGAGTTCTTTCCTGATCACTGCTCCTTCTCTTCATTATGAAGGGACAGGGACAGTTGTTATTTTTTTTTTTCTCCAGGGACCAGTTTGTTGGGACCTCTGCCCAATATTACCCCATCATCCTATGCTGATTCATATCTGGCTTTAACCAGACTCTTAGGAAACACGTCCAGTTTGAGAGCCAATCAGGCTCCTACCTGGTCACAAACTATTCTTGCTATTTTCAGTCAGACAGACCCCTGACCCAGCAGACATTTCCCTGACACCGCAACTACAAATGTCAATCATAAAATGGTTCCTGTATTAGTGAAGGTCTATACCCAATCACTTCCAAGTACACTTAACCACAGCTGGAATTTCCATAAACAGGCTTAAAAAGGGCTGCCTTACCCTCGCCCCTGGGATTGAAGCCATTTTGGGTGGGCCCCAGCATTTTGGGTTTTCTGTCTCAAGGATAAAGCTGTTTTCCATGATTGCATATAGGGTGTCTTCTTCTCATCTGAAGTGATCTAAGGACCCTACAATTATTTCTTTATCATCCCCATATTGAAAGTATGGAAATACCTAATACTTTCTTGTGTGTGTTTACCAAGCAGAATATAAATTCTGTGGAAAATTGAGGTTTTGTATTGTTTTCTTCTGTCACCCTTCAATCTATAAAAATGCCTGATACATATACTAGGTGCTCAATAATGACCTTGTTGATTGAATGAAAGAACAAAGCAAAGCTCGGTCAACTTCTACGTCCATTTCATCCCTTTTGATACATCATGTGACAGACACTTGGAAAGTAGAATC